ACATACATATTCTCTGAGGTATTTTCAAAGTCAGACTTAAAAAGTGATGGAGGTTGATAGCAACATGAAATATGAAATATGAAATAAGGTCTCATTTTGGGTATTTGGGTGGTTTACATACACACATTTGATTTTAGTGTCTTGAATGGTAAAATACCATATTTAAATGCATGCACTGCCGTATCTGATGATACTTATCAGCCATCTGCAAGAACTTCACAATCTCTGCACAAAACGCTTCCTTTAAGACTGCAGGTAGAAAGATGGGTGCTCGTCCTACTTCTTACTGAGTTTTATTTTATCTTTTTAGCTCTGCACTTTAGAAAAATCCCTCCCACATAGATACTGACCTCACCCACAAGGTGAGATGCGTCTCTTAGTCATGAAACGGTGTCTCTTAGGAGCTGGGGAGTTAGCTCAGCAGCTAAGAGTCCTTCCTGCACTTCCAGAAGATTCAAGTTTGCTGCCCAGTGCCACACCCAGCTGCTCACAATTGCCTGTAACTCCAGCTCCCGGTGATCTGATGAACTCTTCGGGCCTCCGTGGGCAACATCACACATACAGCACACGTTCACACAAACACACGCACACACACAAAAATAAAACCTTTATTATTTCTCTTAATTACTTAGGTTTCCTCATATTTATTAATATTTCTGATACTTTCATAAAGTGACACTTAAAGTATGTCTCAAATAAGTACACGTTTCATGTAGGTGTGGATTGACATGTACCTGGACTATACACGGATGCACGGACACACAGACATCTTCCCTAAGTCAGGTCCTTGGTGTTAGTAGTGTGACAGGGTCATGGTAAAATCTTTGAGGTACACTTCTCCGGGTCACCCACATTGCCGAGAGGGTGACACAGAGTTCGATGGATACAGCAAGGCAATTAGAGTAGAGACAGATAAAGGCTTCCACGATCCCTACTACGCACTTCAGCCTGTGACAGACAGGGCTGACGCTCCATCCCTTATACGGCAAACAGACATAACACCACAGGGAGGACCCAAGAAGCTCCACGCCCAATGCCTACTACTGTGGGCGTTCTAAAGGCTGCCACGCAGCAATAAAAGATTTGCTGATGGCGCCACTCGAAAGCACCCATATGTCCCCAAGTAAACATCCATCATAGATTCAGGAACCTTGCTTTGCTCTTGGGGATATTCATACCATAGAAGAACCTAAAGAAATGTATTTTTTCCTCATTCAGTTTTGAGCATGGATCTCAGAATTACCTTGAAGACCCTATGTGATGGCATGCAGAAAACCCCTTTAGTAGCTGCTGCAGCTCCAGAGGCATTGTGTGTGGACTGTCCCTCATGAGAGATGTTTGAAGAAGAAGTCAGTGTTCAGCTTGGTTCAGATTTTCAGTTGTCTGCGTATAGACAACGAGTTAGTAACAATACGGATCTAGGGCTAGGGAAATGCTTGAGTGGATAAAGAACTTGCCACGCAAGCTTGAGTCCTAGAATTTTGATCCCCAGAAACCACACACAAAGCAAGTGGATATGGCAGCTGCCTCCACTCGGCACTCTGAACACAGACAGGGGATACACTGGGCAAACTGGCAGGCTAGACTAGATGGAATTGGTGTATTTCAGGTTCAAATGCAGACTCCGACTCTATAAATACAGTAGGAGAGTCACCAAAGAAGACACATGGAGGCAATTTTGGTTGCCTATATACACATGCATACACACCCATATGCAGGTACATAGGCACCTACACATGCACATGTGCACATATACACAAACAGGCACATATACACATAATATAATATTATTAAAAATAACATCCCTATCTACAGAAGATTCTCAGTTAAATTTCAGATATACCTGTGCACATAGGCTGAAAGTAAGTTTTAGAATAGCTTAATAATTTTGGGTGTGGCTCTTCTCCTTAAGATGCTCATAAAATAAATGCTTTCCCACGCAATGCCTACTCAACCAGAAGTCATCAGTAATTTCATAGTAGCATTACTTGACCATCCCAAGATTCACAAACCAAACAGCATCCTGAGAGGAGGACAAACTAAAGTTCACTTAAGAACCCAGAGTCCTGTAAATTCAAGGGCTATTATGCCCCATCTTGTTGTAGGCACATGAAGAATTTCAGGTATGACAAAGGCAGGTGATTAGGAAGATTGGGAAAAGAGAAAAAGGAAAACATCACAGGATATAACAGGACAGATTCATCAATATTATAATACTAATCTAACAGAACATGGAAAATAGAGAGGCCTTGGACACAGTATGACATGAAAATCATACTGAGGTGTCTATGTACAATTGACCCTCAAATCCACAGGCGTTGCATTCAAAGATTGGAAAAAAAAAAACCCAACAAATCAAAAATATCTTGAAAGCCAGCATTGTGGCTTCTGTCTCCCGTTCTAGCCCTTGGGATGGTGGGGAAGAAAAACATCCCGGGCTACACAGTACATTCCAGGCCAGCCTGGCTCTACAGTGCAATCCTAGGATGAGAAAAAGAAATTGTTTACTGAAGACACATAGACTTTGTCCTTGTCCTTAGTTCCTGAGCAGTTCAGCACAGCCACCAATACACAGCACTGACATCCGGGTAGTTACTGTAAGCTATCTTGAGATTATTCCAGTGTATGAGACTGTGTGTACAGGTTACATACAAACACTGTGTGATTTTATATAGGGAACTTAAGCATCTGAGGACTATGCTACCTACAGGCTCCTTACTCCAGGGACATTGAGGGACTACTGTTAAGATACTAGTTACATGCTGCCTTTACTTTTTCATTCCAATTTACTACACTCATTAAGTTTTGCTTCAGCTCAGTTCCTTTCAACCCTTGCTTCACGATGGAATCACCTGGACAACATTTGATGGAATACCGAAGGACGGGTTCCTCCTTCGAACTTATTAAATCAGAACCCAAGAGTAAGCCTGATATTCCTTCATCTCCCAAAATAACTCTATAGTAGAGGTAGAATGGAAAAGTCTATAGCAAGATACTCCCCCCGCCCCCCGACAGACATCAGCTGTCTCTTTATATAATGCTACAGCTGTTCCAAACCAACACTTCCTCTACTAGTAATGGACTGAAAACTGGAATCCCAAATGGAGTTGAAGCGAAGGATCCCACATCTTGGATAGTTGTAAAATCTAGAAGCAAATTGTGTCCAATATGTGCCCATGAGTCCTGGGGACTATCGCCTGTCATTTCCGGCCTGGGAGCTCACACTTTGCATCGTCCCCTCCCAGGTGGTGTGCATAAGAAAGACAAGCGCGATACACTAGTTTTCCATAAATAATTAAGAGCCATACAGGTAGTGATGAAAATAATAGTGTCATTTTTTAAAAAGGTTGTAAACGCTTTGTGGAAAATGTTAATATAAGATGTCTATCTCCTTCATCAAGCACAACAGACAGCCGATCAGGATCTCATTAACACAAACATCCACCCACTCAGGCAGCAACCCTATATCCCTAGCGTGATAATTTCAAATACCCGAGATGCGGGATTAAGAAGAAGAGAAGAAGCTAAAGGCTTCTATCAGTTTCCACGTGCTACAGAAAGCTTTTAAAGTAGTTAATACGGAAGTTTCAGGAGCACGGAAAAAAAGTAAGGATGGAACGAGGACATGCGAGTCTAGAGTTCTAGGCACATTCCTCCTTCCCGGCAGAAACGTCTTTGACAAGGGCCAGGATGTGGGAAAAGCGTGGCATCGGGCAGAAGGGTAAGGCACACTCTGTTCGGTGGTCCTGAGCCGCCCCCTGCTCAGACCACATTCCTGCCTGACAGCCCCAACGGCTCATCCTAGACATTCAGCTACTTTCCACTCCCTCCAGCAAACAGCAACAAATGCGGTGATTAAAGGTGATAAATGATTTAAAAATGATATTACTGGGCCACGTCACAGCCATCATGCAGCGGCAGCCATGTTAAGTACGGTACGAAGCAGAAACGGAACCAGTGCAGGAAGGGACACAAGAACGTGGGAGCTGCCTACTGTGAGGGAACAGGGAAGGGTTAAAACAGAGTGCTTCAGCTGGCTAGCAAACTCAAAATTATAAGTAAAATAATAAAATTGAAATGTGAAAGGCGTGGGGCTGTGTCTCTGGGGGAGCTTCAGTCTAGCATGCATAAGGACCCGAATTCGATCCAAGCACGGTAAAAACAAACAACCGAAACTCCACACAGAACAAAGGAAGGAAAGAAAGGGAAAGAGGTACTCTAGGCGGACTGAAGGATGAGCAGCCTGGGGATTAAGACTTAAAAGAACCAAGATGCAATGCGAGTGGAGGTCACCAAGGAGAAGAACACCCACCCCCATACCCCGACGTCCTGGGGTGGGGGGGGAAAGTCATAGACAGCCACTTAATCTGTCAGAACCCCTCAGACAGCACACAGGCTCAAGGGACTGCCCGCCATACAGAATGTACAGAGCAGGACCTGAAGGACTTAAGCTGCATGGCCGGGCCACACTTATATGAAAATACATATACATTCACATATATAACTTAAATGCTTGAAATTAATGCGAGTTGCTCAAAAATGCAGCTTACAGAAAGCTCCGCAAAAGCGAGCCCTTTCTTTCTCTCTTTCTTGGTGTGTGTGTGTGTGTGTGTGTGTGTGTGTGTGTGTGTGTGTGTGTGTGCGCGCGCGTACGTACATACACAGAGAGAGAGGGGAACTGACTGGAGTGAAATTCTTTGGATTGTTTTCCTTCCGTGAAAGAGTAGGGAGAGGCACAGTAGAATTTAAGGTTCTTTGCTAAATCTAATTTGACAAAATTTGTCAAAGGATATTATCAAGGAAAAGCAACGGGAAAAATAGAAATTCCAAAAGGACAAGTAACGACAATTGCCTTGCTTAGGCTGAAGACCTGGGGATCTAACTGATGTGGGCAGAATGTTCTAGGGCAGTGACTGCTTTGGTGTCCCCAGTCCCTCCTCCAGGATGACGTGGCTGTCCTGCTGCCACACTGCCAGGACAGTGAACGCTAGTGCACATACCTGGAGCCAGAGCCGGTCCCCAGCCACCGTCCTGCCTATGGCGCTGCACTGGAAAGTAGCAAACTGGCCGGCATTCACCTCCACGTTCTGAATCCGCAGGAAGTGGGGCGTTCTAGCTGCATGAGGGAAGAGAAGTCAAGGAATTAGAAGTGGGACCTCAATGGAACACCCACTCATAACGAGTAGACACGCTTCCCACCGGGGCCTTTTCACTGTGTTTGCCTTGGGAGAAAGAGAATTGGTGAAGCCTATGAAAGCTTGAAAGGTATCTCTGTGGTTGTGAAGGGCATCATGGGAGGATACTGGTGTGTGTGCTACGTGATGACAGAGAGAAGGGGGGAGGGAGGAGGGAGGGAAGGAGAGAGGGAGGAAGGGAGGGAGGGAGGAAGGGAGGGAGGGAAGGATAGAAAGAGAAAAATAGAGATGGGGAGGGAGAAGGGAGGAATGGACAAAGGGAGGGAAAGAGGGTGAGAGAGACATGGGGGAGAGAGAGACATGGGAGAGAGAGAGACAGAGAGAGAGAGGAAAAAAATCAGGCAATCTGGGATAGAACCAAAAGAGAAGAATTCATTGTTCCTGCTGTGCAAATTACCGTAGCTCAGCAGTCTCCTTGTAATAACAAATCTGTATTAATAAAGATTATGCTGATGCCTAATTGATGTTTTGAACAAAAACATATTAGATATTTATACTTGCAATGTGAAAAGAACAGTAAGAAGTTAAATGATGTTGTCAAGGAAACTTTGAAACCCAAATACAGAGCTGTGCATAATATATATTTTAATACAACTAATTGGTATGCAGCGATCCCTCTGTAATATTTCCCAGCCACCAAAAAATACTATCCCACTAGACACACTCTGGGAAGGATGCTGGGCCTGGCCAAGCTGGGTGAGTTTCACTGATTCTTGTTTCTAGGTCAAGAAATCCATCTGCTATGGGCACCATCTCCTGGTGCCCCTGTCGGTCACGGACAGTTATGTCCAGAAAGGGTGACTCTGCTCAGCCTGAGAAGTATAGTTAAATGTCATGCAAACTTTATTAGGGAAATTCTCCTATTGCATGACAAAGTCACAGACAGGGAAAGGGCGAGAGCAGAAAGCAAGTGCGAATACAGCATTTTCTGGGTGGGGCGGATGAGACCAGATTCATTATGCCTCCAAGTATCCATCCTCTCACTGGCAGTGGGTCTTGAAGAATGGTGTCCTAGTCTGGGGACCCAGTGACTGTAAACCCACACTCACATGAGCCCAAGCAGAACTTAATTAGAACTGCAAGTGCACTGCAAACAAAGAACAATGAATTTTAATACCAGTAGCATAGGAAAACCTCATTATTATTTGGAGGCCAGCAATAATTCACTGTGCTCACGATGCTTAGTATGCAAACTAGTCTAAACGCCTCCTCACAGGGCAGGGCAGCAATGGACCACTGTTACTCAGCATTCATTGACCAACTTCCAATTCCAAGAACTGTTTCACTGACTCAATCAAATTACCCCTTACTCTTCGGTCTTTGAAGACCTCTGAAAAGCATCCTTAAGCCAAATGTCTCTTCTACCTTCTTCTGGAGGGTCTGGAAAACCCAGTGCTTTTGATTAAAAGGGTGGTCCTTGAGTTTTAAGTGCCCAAACTTTCTCAGTGAACACTCACACAGGATCTATGAGGTGGCTTTTTTTCTCTGTTTTGGATACAGGGAGACTTGTGGGTGGGCCCCTGACTAGTACAGACTTCCATTTCTAAAGCCTAGGCCAGCCTGCTACATCACTTGATTCCTTCTAGGCTTCCCATCATCTCTGTCTGTCCTGGTGGTCCCCATCCCACACCAGGTGGGCGTTTTCCTGGAATTCCAGTAGCGCTGATCTTTCCAGAGAGCCCCAGCATTCTCTCAGGTTGTCTTCGGACCTTCAGTGACCATGGTAGCAAGAGCAGTGAACTTGGTGCTACTGTGGCCCACCAGCAGACTCATGATGGCGTCATTAAATTAACTGAATGTTATTTGCATTAATAAAACCACAGGCATGCAACCTTTAGAGCTGTTTGACAGAAATTCCTATCTCTATAGCAGAATTTTTCCTCCCCACCTTTGCACTTGACCTTTGACTCCATTATTTTTTTTAACCACATAAAAATTATATCAATTATTTTAGGCTTATCTACACCAGAGGAACCAAATATTAATACAGACCAGGAAGACTAGTGAGATTTGACTAAATTAAAAGGGCTACATTGAAAATGAGGAGTTGTTTTCTTATCAAAGAAACTGATTACAGCCGATTCTCATCAAATACTCCCAAATACACACACACACACCCTCCCTCCCCCCCCCTCTCTCTCTCTCACACACACACACACACACACACACACACAGATATAGATAGACAGACAGACAGACAGATAGATGGTAGGTAGGTAGGTAATAGATAGAATTAGGTTGACATCCTACTCTGAAAAACCTAAACTATTTTTAAAGAGTGAACATAATGTAGCAGGTAGAAAATTGCACAACTCATGGGACAGGCTAAAAGCTAAGCACACAAGCACTAAAACCCTAAACATAATGCATGAAATTACCTTCAGTTTATACATACGAGTGATAAATAAAACGTGAATGAATTCCACACTTAGACTCCCATCTCATCACCAAGATTATGCATATACAAAATCCTTAAAATATTCCAACACATGCCTGCATTTAAGTGGCTTGGGCAACGGATATTTAACATGCAAATCCATTTCAGTGCAACCTTCGCTAACTAGACTGGAAATATTCACTCCACCTATAAAACAGTTTGAAGTTCACCATTCCTAGCCATGTGTGCATCAACACATAAACAAGAAAATTGTGGCATTGCGCCTCCTCTGTCCACAGTGGATTTGGCAAAAATCAGTTCTTAGTTATATCTCCCAATTCTTTCACATTGGGAATTTTTTGGCCACAGCTTTCTTGTGAGTCTTAGGCAGGCATGTCTCAAACAGCAGATAGTTCAGACTCCTCTGGAAGGGCTGTGAAATCTACTCCCCACCAACAACCCAAGAGTGGCAACCCTTTTAGGGCACCCCAGCCCTCATCAGCCCAGGGAGGAATCTTCAGGCCCTCTCCACTAAGGCAAGTGTTCCTCAGGTGCCAACCTGTTTCCCAGCCTTTTTCCCTTCTCCTCCTCCCCTGGATTCAACTCCCAGCATCAAGGGGCCATTTCCACTCTCTTTCATGGTTATTCTTTCTCATCCCTTCCAAAACTGCTTCTGAAATTCTCTTTTCCTAGTCATGAGGCAGCTTTCCCTCTGTTCAGTCATCTTGGGATCTTCTCTGATGGTGAGATGTTACCCAGTAAGTAGAACACAGAAATTTGGCCTTCCTGAGCTGATGGGTCTCTTGGTAGCCGTTTTCTAGCACCATAAGGCCAATAACTGAGAATACAGCAGATACTCTCCAAGAGAGATTGGCAAGTACATCAGATAATAATAACAGGTGGTATCATTATCATCATTATAGGCATCACCACCATCATCATCATCACCATCATCCTCTTCCTCATAATCATCATAGGCATCACCATCATTATCATCACAATCCTCCTCCTCCTCATCATCTTCATCTTCATCATCACCATCCTCCTCCTCATCATCATTATCATCGGGTCCCAGAGGTAGGAAACCAGAAAAGGTCTATACCAGAATATCTTTAAATTAGCCTTGAGTGGGACTCTTGACTATAAGAAAATATGGAAACACTTCAGTTAGCCATCTCCTTCTAGATCAGTCTGTGTGCTCCTGTGAAGACACTCCTGAGATGTTTATGCTCTATGACTCAGAGGCATACAGCCAGGGAATGAAGTAGCCACCCTATAGTTTTTGGTCACGTTGTTCTAACACAGCAATAAAGGGAACTAAAACATAGGTATCCTATTTGTGAGCAGCATACAACCAAGTATTGCCAGGTCTCAGGGGTTCCAATCAAGTCTAAAGAAAGGCTCTTTTCCAGAAAGTCCTGCCCTGCCTCAATTCTCTCTGCTGTGCTCTGTTTGGGTGCATGGGTCCTTTCTTTCATTTCCCTGGGATCTCTTTAGGGCAACGACTCCAATGTCTGGGAAGCATCTAGGGACACTTTTGTGCACAGGGGTGTCTGGATGCACACGCTCCCTAGAACCTCCTCCTTTGGAAGGCACTTCTGTGGGCTCCTCTGTCTGGACTGAGGTCCAGACTTCTTTCTGGATCCCTCTCTTGGGAAGTTCTCAGCTGACTGAATGGTGCCTTCTTATGTCTGTGCTGACTGCATACCCGTTCACTACACACCAGCTCTGTACATAACTGTTCTTGTTGATATGATCTACTAGGGAGCATTCAGATCCTCAATAACTTCTTCCAGAAAACTCCAAGAGGCTCCTCCCCAAACCCCTCTCCTCACAGCATCCTACACACGATGTTTAAAGTGAAGCCCTCCCCTACTGCCTCACAGGCTCACAATGGACTTAGAGATGTCCCCAAAGCCAACTGTGTGAGGCTAGAAAATCAAAGGCTGATTAGAGACAAACTTTAGCTCACAGTTGCAAAAGATCATATGCAACACAAGAGACAACTGGTAAAGAACTTTAGCCTCTATATTGAGCAAGTAGTAATTTATTTAATGCGCCAGAAACAATTTAGAGAAAAATATAAAATGAAACAAAGACAAGAATAAGCATTTATATGCACACATACAATTAGTAGTTATATGTGTGTTTACACATGATCCATGGACAAAAATGCAATGATACTGTAGGATATCTATTTGCACGTCTATTTATTTAAGCACATACATACCTATAGATTTTATGCACGTGATCATCCCCTACCTCGAGATGACATCACCAAGTTAGCAAAGGAACTCCATCAGAGCTACTGGGGGAAGTCAGCGCCTCAACAAGAATCCAAATGCCCAAGGCCATTCAGGTGTTTGTTTATTCATTCAAGGTGACTTAGACACCTTGGTCAATGAGACTGGTTTTATATTGCTGGCTAAGTTGTAAAAATACCAATTAATGAATAAAGCCTGCTGAATTACCAGCACTGAGTATGATAAGGTATGGTAGAATCCTACTTTCTCTCACTAGCCAAATAAACTGACGCCATATTGG